TCAATTGTTATATGTGTACTTTTTTAAAGGTTTTTCAAAAAAATTAATGTTAACAGTTGCGTTATAGTGATTAATTCATATAAATAATGACGTCTTCATCTTACTTGTTTACCCAACTGACCCAATTTTGATCCTTCCACATAAACATCAACATCATCATATTCATAGATCGCCTGAAGTGCTGGGGTATTCAAATGTTTTCCTGCCACTTTTTAGTAGAGGATTCTTCCCAGCTTCTTTAGGCTGTAGCTTTTCTTTTGCTCTTCCTGTAGAATACGCCAACGACTTAAAGAAATGTTCAAAAACTGTAGATATTCGAAATACTAAATATTGTAATACTATCCTTTATACACACCAATGTATCTTTGATTTGGAAACCCGCAACATCTGCATAAATCTACATACTTCGGTATAACGTATATACGTCGTTTACGTTTATACGTCGTTTGTAAATATCAGAAACAATCTGCATACTCTGTTTGAGGTAGCACTAGCGTTAAAAGCATCCCGCAAGGACTTTCTCGCACGTCTCACGGTGATTTTTTCATCCGTGTTGCGGCGGTCATTGTTCCCCTCTTCAATGAACGAGAATAGATATATTGTGCTGGAAATTTACACATCTCAACGTTGCTTAATTTAACTGTTTATATTTTTTGTTTACAGTTGCCTTTTTACGAACACAATTCTAAAAAACAGATTTGTGGTAACTTTGCTTGGTTTATACTCAATCCCAACGTCGATAAGCGCTCGTAAGTTTGCTAACATAACTACATTCTCTTGATCGTCTATCTCATTGTTGCCTGCTTACATGATTACCCCTCAGAATTTATTGAGTATCACTAGTGAGATGGAGCAAACGTTGCTGATCGAGACGGGCATTTTCGTACCGTTCCATAATGTTTTATTTAGATTAAAACAAAAATGTAATTTAAAGAATTTTGTATTTTGGTACCTGGAGGAAATTTCGGCTTTATTTTGTTGACAGATAATGCGCAAAATGTAAATAAGACATTCGCGCCACAGATTGCACCGGAACTGACAAAAGTACACAAAATATTCCCGCAATACCGTCATTCGGTTCATGTGTCCTGGTTGTATTACTTACATTCACAGTATAATGTGACAGTAAGCTTCACGAAGTATACGAAAGAAATTCAGAAATTTACTGAGCGTTAGCGTTTTCCGTTAGGGAAAAATTAAGGAAAAGTCATTTTTTCCTGACATCGTGAAGATTGCGATGATAAAACAGGACACCCCTTTGGTAATTCAACCTAAGACCGAGCAGAAAGTGAAAGTGAACTTCAATAAAAGCGTTGACTTTAAGAAGTTAAAGGTTTCTAATCTTCGCTGCAAGAAGTATAGCGGCGTAGTATTTGATTGCAGCGGTGATGATAAGAGAAAAAGCAGCAATCGAAAGGATATGAAGTTATGGTTCCAACCAAGCTCAATTGCCAATTCAAATTCACGGTTACGAGTTTCAGCTATGCCAATGATGAACTTCTGCATAAATTACGTTGTCAGAATCCGAGTCCAAGGTCGTAAGATCTATACGGTATCTGAAAATAGCAGCACACACTGCAGAGCAGTGTTTAAAACTGGTTGTGAAACTTTCTCTAAGATTCTGGCGGAGATGAGATTTTACGTTGGGTGGGAGAAGTACAAAGTTTATGGTTGTGCAGAGGTTTTGATTTGCTCCAAGTGCAAAGATTGTATTTTCCTAAGGATTTCTAAGGAGAAGGAACCATGGCTCAAACGAATGTTTTAAAAAACGGGTAGCCATGTGTACTAAGAGTATGAAGTCCAGTGAACAGTTTAATTTAAATCTCTCTCCCGGATATCTCAACAAATTTAAGTTACTTAAACAGAAAGTTTGGTGTAATACGATATTAAAATGGAGATAGACAGAACTTCCGTTAGGAGAGTTGGTGCGTATATTACGGTACAAAAATTGCAAGAGGTTCCAAAGTCCGAAAGTGACAGCGTAGTTGAACATCTCGGTATTGAAATAAGTGGCAGTAATTCGAAATGTTTCATCACATGAGCGTATACTACGTATAACCGCAACTGTTTGGATGAAGTTTCCATACTTGGCGGCAGTTTTAATGTTGACTTGTACTTCAATAATTCACGTGCCAGGCAACTGCCTGATCCAAAGCAGATCGTGGATTGGTAATTGGTCAACTTCTGACCCACACGTTATACAATTTCGCCCTTTCATGTATTATTTGCATTCCTGAGGGTTGAGACTATATCCTGAGTTCTGGTGATGTTAACGAAAAGTTTTATTGTTTATCATACTATCTATTCGCGCTATTTAATGATCATGCTCCTGTGGAGATGTACGAAGTTAGTTGCCTTGAGCCTTTTCTTTGGAAGTCAAAAGAGCTATCTGACCCCGTAAGGGGGTGTAAATTCTGAAAGAGCTGCTCTAGTGGGCTTGATCGAAAAATTTTTCGGAAGAGTAGGAATAGGGTACATGGCATAATTCGGCATACGAAATGATTCTATGTCAGTAAGAAGTTGAATGTCAACCTTCTTTCTAAAATTCTTCAGGAAATTGGCATTTAAAAGTGTTTACCTGGGCGTGAAATATGTCCTTGAAAGCTAAAAGATCACTTTTTGAGATATAACTGCTTTTTAAAATCATTCATGGCTCGTGAATCAAGAAATTTCGCACCAGCATAGTAATGCAGTCGATGGTATAAGTTTGTAAACCTAATTTATTGTCCATTACATACAAGATTACCCCCTGATTCTGACATTGAAGCGCACTAAGCCTGAAAAGATCGATACAATTACATTGGTAACACTTCTAATGTACACAATAATAATTATACACTGCATACTTTTGTAATGTGATCGCATACCGTCGTATGCATCCACTTTGAAGTGCAAATTCAGCATAATTCTGTAGCAAAAAAAAAGTAAAACAAAAACTTTGTCGCACTTCAACTGGCTGGGTATTGCATTATGAAATGCAATACGACGCCAGGCGCCCTAATTAAAATAATTGATAACGTAGCATAAAATCACCTATAGATTTAAATATTAATATTCCACCTGGCAAATAAAGAATTTCAATTGCTATCAAACAATTCAATCAAAGCGTATCAATTCGCTGTTTTAATAAAGGCGTTCTATCCGCCTCGTAACTTTAATTAGGGACCGTCTCTTGCCGACTTCTTTTGGCACTACATGAGACGGATAGACTTGGCGTTCTGCAGCCAAGCAGATTAGGGCTCTAAAGCAGTAAAACTACCTACATCTAGGGAAGGATTTATAGGGAATCCTCCCAAATACTGCAACGCATTTTTCTATCTCCACTACACATCGGCTGAGTATTAGCTTTTATTACTACACTTTATACACTGCATACAAGGCGCTGATTTTCTAACTTTTAGTCAACTGGCTCTTGCTTGCAAGGCGTATCCTAAACACTATTTCATTGAGAGTTATGTATGGCTTTCGCCATTCGAAACATATTTTGAAGAATGGGATAATAAGAAGCAAATTTAATGTTTGTTGATTTACAACGGTGCATTGAGTAATCAAATCATACGAACACAAATAAAAGCAAAAGTATGTAAAATTTTTGATAAAATGAAATGAAGTGAATTAATTTCACATAATACATATAATTTCTTATTTTCATTTCTCAGGAGAATTTCAAATTTCGCACATGAATTTTGAATATATATCATATTATTTTTGCTTTATATAATATATTAATACATTAATGTGTGAATTTACCTATAAAGCATGTATAATGTTTTAAAATAAATTGCAAATCAATTCTAGTTTTATGTTACATAAATAAAAAGCAACTTTTTACTTTTCTTAAAGTGGACTTATTCTGAATATGTTTTTTGTCAACCAATTCAATTTGGAAGTGCAGAAGAAAGGCCGATGCTTATTTCCTCACTTATTCCACTCAACTGCCATATGCGCAATGAAACGCCGACACTATCGACGCCTAACGAATATAATGTTTATATGTATGTACGTCCAAATATATATGTACTATTACTACCGACAAATAACATAAAATAGGTAATTCCGCCTGGGATATATATGTTTCTCGATATTACTTGATTATTACGATATTAGTTGTTATTAAAGCATTTTACATACATTCTCCCTTTGCTTTATTCAGTAAAATGGATTACGCGTGTTACCGATGGGACCAATATATCCAGTAAAGTGATGAGTTTTTATTATTTGTTGATCCTTTGCGCTTTATCAATAACAGTGACGGTCTATCATGACGTATAGAAACATTGGTCGTACATAATTGATTACAGTCTTTGGCGAATTAAAAGTATTAATTAGACAATTGGAGTGATAAGCAAAACAAGTAAATAATTTACTTACCTTTCACCAACTTAAATTTCTTGTTTTATTTCAGTTTTTTGTATGTAATCAATTTAGTTTAAAGTTTATTCTATTTTTAATTTACAGCAATTTTTTTCTATAAACGCAGAGGGGCAATGGTTTAAGCAGGCGATTTTACAAGCAAATTACATATGGTAAACAATAACAAGCATCAAAAATGAAAGTAAAAGAAAATTATGTAAAAGTTGCGTTACAACATAATATGGTGAATGAATATAAATGTTGAAATGATCATAATCGATTTATAAGAAATTTTAAATTTAATTGCCAATATTTAAAAAGTTTTTTCTTAGCAAAATAGAGAGTATGACTTTTAGTACATATTTAATTTTTATGTAAATTTTCGTACGAGTTACAACTTTAAAAATTGTTTTTAAGATTCATACGTTTATATATTTCGAACCAGCAATCTTCTTACTTCCTCACCCAATCGCCCTAATTAAGGTGTCTCCACACAAGTATCAACACCATCATCTTCATAGGTGGACTGATCTGCTAATGTTTAAAAACTGTGGTTAGATCAGTAATAATAACGTTTGTACACAGCAATGCATCTTTTCATAATATTTCTCCTCTTGCAAGTTCATTGTATTTTGTTTTTTAAGGGATTCAGGGTACATTCACTATCACCTGAAAAAAAATAAGCTTTTTGGGGCATAACTTTTTTTTACAGTTTATTGAGCAGTTAGACATTGCTGTCGTTTCCAGTCCAATGGTCTCCTGTCTTTCACAAGCGAATCATGGGAACATCCAGAGAATTTAAAATTGACTGAAAGAGAAAGAAATGTTTATACTTAGTTATATAAAAAGTAGTCGCTAATATACATATACTCAGGTTAATACTTACTCGTTAAGGCTGTATTTTCCTTTTGGTTAATGAAAATTGGTTCATTTTCAAAATTGTATTTACAGTTAACAACTTTTTTTGTCTTCTTCACAATACACAAATTGTATTTCGGACACACTTTAATTTTCAAAATGAAAACTAAATCATTTTCTAACAGCTGTTTATTTTTTTCTTCCAGCTGTTTTGATAAAAACGCAACACTAAAAGGGAGATTTGTGATAACTTTTCTTGAATTATACTCAATACTATAGTAAATTTATTTCCAGCACACAGAGAGCATATTTGCCGACAATCGCAAGCAAATTTGCTTACATTCCTAGATTTTATTAAAGACTGTCGCTTGCTTACATGATTACCCCCAACTCTAAACAACCAATAATAATGAAAAGCACGAGCAATTGTGATTACGTCTGTTCTAAGAAGTTTGGGAGAGAGTTTCTCCTCTTACTTGTTCATGCATATAGGTAAAAAGATTAAAATTCGAAAGTGAAACCTAGTTAACGCCATAAATAATCAGTGCTCAGCTTTACTGGAGAGAACTAACCGTATAGAAATACCATCGACTACTTTAAAATACAAATTAGTAAAATTTCATTGGATGTGTACGAAAAAATTCAAGAGATCTACATAGAAAAATTCTTAATTTATATATTTGTCAAATGCTTAAATAAATTTCAGTAAAAATTTTCGTATCAACAAATATGACAAATCTTTCCAAAATTAAAAAGAGTTATATTGTAGGAATAATTTATTTTTATTTAATATAGTATATTTGAAACATATTTATATATATTATATTGTTTGTTTACGTTGTAAGCTTTTTTATATCAACATCTTGCGATTAAAAACAACATTGCGATTTGCAAAATCGAAAAAGCGAAACAAAAAAAAAAAAAAACCAACGAGTTTCGCGTTTAATTTATTTCTTAACGATAATATTACATAATAGTGAAATGTTCAATGTGCGACAGACGAAAAAATAAAGACTACAGAGAGCTGATACATATATATGCATGTTTAAAGTCAATTAGTACAGCATGCATATTTATGTACATAAGCAAAAAAGAGAAAATTTATAACTGACTTACACTAACTTAAAGCTATGTTTGCTTTAGTTTGCATAGGCAAACGTGGCAAGAACGTATATGTTAAAAACATTTTATCCAATTTCCGGCATCATAAGTGAGTTATTGCATAAGGAACATTACCTATTAAATTCAAATGCCCGTTTCGCGTGTGTATTCCATATCTATCCTGCCTAATTGTTTTAATTTAAAAATAATATGATACCAAAACTAACTGTAGTGACGTCCTTATATATAGGGTGCGTGGTCTGTACCTGTCGGATAATAATGTTGCTTTCTGTAAAAGAGCAATAGCTAATTGGTTTAAAATAGCGGATCAACGACACTCATCCTTTTTTTAGGGAAAACTTTCCTTTACAATTGTTAGGTAGATAAAAACCACCGACAATAAGAAGAAAGAGATTGATAAAAGGAAAAAGATAATCCAAAGTTTTCTCGTAACTTATAAGGGAGATTTAGCTTGAATTGAAAGAAAAGAGTTAGTCTAGTTTCAACGTTGTAATGGTGCAAAAAAAGAAGAAATTGAACATATTGTGATGTGTCAACTTTTTTTAACAGATGATGAAATTATGAAATTTATTAATTACATTCTTTTATGAAACAGTGAAATAAGAAGATTAATTAATATTGTTACGGAAGTCCCAAATCCCGTTCATTCCAGCTAAGTAGTAAAACCCCTAAAGAGGGAAAAACTAAATACACATTCGCAGCATGCAGCTGCCGGCCGAGGAAAACGAGTACCAGAAAAGCAAGTTAATGAATTAAAAATTAAACTATCAAATTAGGTACTAGTAATATGATGGTAAAAATGTATACAAATAGAATATTTGTGGAAGGAAGAGTTAGTAGAAAAAGAATATTTAAGTTGAGCAGTTGAAAGTATTGCCAAAAATAAATTGTGAATAATCCTACATTTAAGGAATAATAAAAGAACTTTGAAGTGTATTTCTCTTGAACGAAATATCCACTGTTTAGTCATACGAACTGTATTTTAGAAAGGCGAAATTCATAACAATATTTACCATGATACGAAAATCGAAATGACCAAGTGATTTCTTCTTCTTTTTTTTTTAGAGAAGAAAAGGTAATCACAGACGTTTCGAAAAAAATTAGAAGCATAAACAAGTCCTTCTTTGATCATTTTGTATGAGCCTATATACAGAAAAGAGTAAAAAGGGGAATACACAAAAGTCAAATTAAATAATAAATATCGGTATGGTATAATATGGTAAAATGTGCAAATTCTACATGATTAAAATTGGATAAATTTGTGTTTCTTTGATGATCATTGACAATATCAAAAGCAAAGAAAGCAAGAACATGACAACACACTGACCTGACTACCTATGTAGTGCTCCGAAAGCACAAATATATATACTCGTATACAAATAAATATACTCGTCTCATAAGGAATGTATAAAGTGCATATTCACTTATATTTAGCCAGCACGGAATTTAATGAAAAGGATATGAAAAGGCTGTGCACTAAGTAAAACAACAAATTCTTTTAATAAATACAAACACCAAGTAAAAACATAAAGAGTAAGTGAATGGAGACCCGTCGCACTGGTCTGGATTTTGTGTTCTCTCTTGTATATAAAAAAATAAGAATTAATAATGATATAATAGATATAATTTATGTGTGGAATACTGGAAAGGACGGTCATGAAGCGGATTGGTTATACGCGGGGGCTTTATCTTAACGGATGGACCTATTAAAGGGACGATTACTAAATGGACACAAGATTAGTAACGGAGGAATAATATATACGCACGCAGCAAACTTTATAATCAAAGTTTCGTTTATTTTATCTTTTTTTTTTTTGGATATATATTTTATTTTGTATCGTGAATGAGCTAGCCAGTGTGAAGCGCGAAATTAAGCTCTACTAACACTGGAGGATAAGAGGACTATTAATTTTGTCAAAAAGTTTTCAACAAATGGAATTATTTTTAAGTTGTAAACGAGAACTTTACTCCTAAACTCTTTCATTATACCCACCACTAAAAGATGGAGATGTATTCATTTTGTAATAATGTTTGCAATATCCAAAAGGAAACGTCAGACCCTTTAAAGTATATACATTCTTGATCAGCATGAAATTGTGAGCTGATTCAGGCGTGCCTGTCCGTCTGTTGTTTTTGACACTGCTGGTCGCAAAAATAAAGATATTGGCTTTAAGTTTAGCAGAAACATTCGAAGTTTCTCCGCGCAAAGTGGTATTGAAAATAATCCTAGTTAGTCAAGCACACGCCCACAGCAAATCGTTAAGTGAACGAAACCCCGTATCTCTAAGTTTCTATGGGTTTTTGCACATTAATCACAAATTCAAACTATTCTTCAAATAAAGATGTGTTATCTGCCCACAAACGTATTAATTCTAAAATAAATATGGTAGACACCACGGCCTCAAAATAATTCTAAATTTATTGGTGTAAAAAGCGTGAATCTATCAAAAACCGTTCTGGGCATTGCATATATCCACTCAAACTTAATATCACTAGTGGTGTATGTCGCAATGCGATGGTATTATATCTGTTCTGCTTCAATAATGGCTTTGCCCAAAATGTCATTTAAACAAAAAAATTAAGCACGAACCCGCGCGCAATTGAACCCAGCGTCTCACAGTAAAACTTCAGTCACGACACCCATATCAACTACGTTACTTTCTTTATTACTCTGATTTCTTTTTATTGTTTATTTCTTGTTAAAGAATTTTAAACCTTATATTCCACAAATCTTCCGTCAAATTTTTACGAAAATTTTTATATCCAAAAATATGAAGAACAATTAACCTTTGTCTAGTTTAATTATTACTTATATATATATTGATTTCATTTGGTTACACATGTATATGACATATTTCTACAACTTTTTACGTCACATTTGTGTTATTGTCTTGTAGAATATATTGTAGAATGTTCTATAATATTCAGCAGTAGTCTAAAATATTCTGGAATTTCTTCATATTTCTTGATAGTAGGTTTTCATTAAAATTTATTAAAGCAACTGATCAACATAAAATTTAGAATTCTTCAATACCAAGTAAACATATTTGCTACTCATCTATTCTTCGACTTTATCATGCATACACTCATATGTACAGTGCGTATTCACTTAAAAGCAAAAAATTGCATGTGCTTCCGCTTTGTCCACGTTTCAGAGGTTGTTACCGCTGTTATTGATAACAGAAACATAAAAAGTTCGTAATAATCTGCTAGTTTCAATTTCACACAAAATATTGGACTATCTTGTCATTTAGTTGTCTCTGGCAAATTGAAGAATCTATGATATGGTGATGCTCGAATCAATTTAGTTGATTTTTACTCTCAGAGACTACTTTAGACACTCTTTACTTTGCGTCATTCGTTGTAAAATTTTTTTTGCCCTAAGAGGGGATCTCCTTGATTATTTGGTACCTTCAGGGAATTGCTAGCATTGTTACTGTAAAACTTTGTTTCAGTAGTTGTTGCCCGTCTGAAAAATGAGAGAAATAAAGAGAGAATCACCACATATATGAGTATAAACCTAGTTTCCTTTTGAAAAGGTTAGTTAAGATTTTAAAGGGCGTATGTGTACATTTTTATTCGCGAGATCTTGTACAAAATAATATAGGTAAATATATATATAATACTGAGAAGAAAACGATGCTCAATAAATACTTATGATCGTCTCGTTTAGATGTTTACTTTTCCATATGGCTTGCTAACTTTTTTACCTAAACATCTTGTTTACGTATACACTCTTTTGTGTTGAATAAACGAAATGAATGTGGAGTTTCATTTCAAATCTTTAAATGCAAAAAGAAAAAATAAAAAATGTTAATAAGTAAAATGTTTTTTTTTTTTAAAACACATGTTCTTTAAATAAAATTTTAATATAAAGGCAACTGCAAAAGTTTAACCAAAAATCCATACAAAACAGAGACAGTAGCGGAAAAGTTCTCTTTATTCTAACGGATTCACGATGAATAACAACCATGTAAATTTTAAATTTCATATAAATAGCAATAAGACAGGGAGTAAACACAGAGGCAACGAAATACATAGACGTTCCAACATTTTGTTCATAATTGAGATCAGGGGGTCTTTAAGGACTTCTTGTGTATTTAGTAACAGTGGTAAGGCTGCTAATTAGCAGCCATAATCTTTCATTCTCATTGTGTACGTGCAAAGACTATGTTAATGGGTGTGTGTACGAAAAAGCACCAAACCAAAAATTTCTTTATAGTTCTTAATATGAAGCATTCAACGAACATAAAATTTAGAGCTCCTCAGTTCTTCAAAATAAACAATGAATAGAAAACAAATAATATATGATGTATATATATCTTGTGTTTGGTGTTTTTTGGTACACACACGCTTATATGCATATCATAAGTCATATTCACTTAAAAAAGCAGATTTGAATGTGTTTCTGTTATGCAAACCTTTGAAAGAATATGATGTCATATCAAGAAACTATTAACATAATCTTTGCTCGTACTAGTAATGAGAATGAAAAATTAAGCATACAAATGGCTGCTAAATAGCAACGTTACTACTATTATCGATAACATATACACAAAAAGTCCCCAGAAATCTCCTCTTCTCAGCTTAGAACAAAATGTTGGAACATCTATGTATTTCGCTTCTCATTGGTAAAATCTAAGAAAGAGAGATGTGTAAACACGAGAAGTGCTTGTTGGGAAATGAGAAAAAGTGTGCGTAAACAGCTACGTAGCATGTGAAAAGTATTTATTATAAAGGAGTGTTTTGAACAAATAAGACGGGCAGTTAAAATAACGCTACACAATTTAAAAAATTTTAAGATAATGTTTTTATTTAAATAAATATTATAATGATACATATGTTTGAAAGCTGTTACTAATTTTTTTTTTAAACTGTAATAAGAAGTAATTTTAAATTAAAACGTGTTGTGTATAACAAAAGTTTTTACCAGTTTGCATTAGTATGACTGACGGCTTAAGTATGTTTCATGTCATTGCACGATTTGTTTTCTCTTCCTCTCTCTCTCTCTCTCTCTCTATCGGTCTTTCCTTATGTAAACTAGAACCATAATTCAATGAACATAAAACTTTTTCAAAAAATAAATTAAGAGAAACAGCAAACAACAGAATTTCGTATAAAAGACCACGTTTCGAATTTGATTTGCCGTTGAAAACTTTTTTGGTTTTAAAAATAACTATGTTACGTGTGCTTATGCTATCATACGAGTAATAGTTTTCGCATAACAAAGTTTTTCTTCATTTTTTACTGTTTGTTTTTGATTTTGAGGTCATGAAAATATGTATAAATGTAATAAATATTTCGAACAAAAAGTATCGTAAAAATGAGGATAGTTTCGCAAATTTTTTAAACAAATGAATGAATGAAAGAATTTAAAGAAGTGAAGTATAACACCATGAAGCTGTGGAAAACAAAAAAACCCATCAACTGCATGGCAAGCAAGAGCGCAGCTTTACAAAATGATGACACACATAACAGTAATGGAATACAAACGGCTCCTACGCTGGCTGGTGAGTTTTACATTGACTTTTCTGTCCAACAAAACGTTACGAAACAAACAAAAAACAGAATTCAAGGAATTAGAAACACGTATAAGGAGTTGTAAACTCTTAACGTCGTTCTCATCTCAGTTTTCGTAACTTTTTATCATAAAACTTTGCGGTTCTCTACGAAAATAATTACAAACAGAATTTAATTACACATCACTTTCTTAAGCAATTTTGACTATATAAAATGGACGTAGGAGGTTGCGTTTTGCTTTTCACCGATTTATTATATAGCACACACGCCGCAAAGATGATAAATAATACTTTGTCATTGATTACAGAAGCAATGAATGAATGGTTGAGGTTGAAGTGTTTTCAAAGTGTGGTTGTAAAAATATATGAAGAAATTGTGTCACAATCATGTTAAATGAAACGTAAGAGAAAATTGCCAAAATATCGAAAGGAATGCCACAAAAACGCGTACCGCTGCTTAATAATGAGATGCAATTGCAGTAATAAGGAAAAGAAGATAAAAAACAAAGAAAAATGAAAATTATTCCACATTTCTAAGAATAGGACTATATATTAGTTTCATTAGCTTGGTTGCATTGTTAAAAAATAAGAGATTTAATGAAACGTAAACATAGTTTCCGTCAGCATAAGTTTTTCAATGGATATCTGCCGTTTATTCTTTGAAGAACCACGACTAGAAAAGTTAATATGCAGAATCGAAGAGGTGTTTAGATTAAGCGATTTTAAGTTAATTTACATTAAAGGACTAAACTTGAAAATAGGCATTATTCGCTTAAAAACGTAAAGCAATTGCTGAGAAATTGGCAGAGTATTCTAAAATCGATACAATTATAAGGGAGTTGGAGCCGAGTGGCATGCAAGCCCATTTCTATTTTTAATTAAAACAAATAGAATTTAGGTTAAATCTTGAATGTAATCGATCTAGTATAAATAACTCTTATTTCGCTTAATCAACTTAAAATATGTCCGCATAATATATTGATTGAATTTCCACCTAATATCAAAAATATCCATTCAATTTTAATTTGTTAAGATGTACGGATCTAGCTAATTGTTCTAATGTAAACCGAATATCGTAATATATTAATTGAACACGAACTCCGTAAACTTTCGCTTTATCAACCTCATTTATGGCATAGTGTAAAAAAGTTTTGGTTTCGAATATTCGTTAATTTACATAAACTCATGTTTTGTTTATAAGAATTTGCAAAAAAATTCTCGAAAAGTTGTATTTTACTTGTATTTTGAGTTAAATCCCTCCGAGATATCGTTTAACAGAATTCTGTTAACGGCCTTACAGAGCTCTGTAAAAAATCGTAGTTTGTGTCTTTGCTAGTTATATTTAAATATAACTTCACACCCTTAATTAACAAAGCCAATTATGTTTGTTTCAGTGATGGACATTCCAAATTTTTGCTTTGTTGTATTATTTTTTTAAAATATATCTTCAAAAGTATTTTAATATATATACTATACTATATATATTACAGTTATATTGTAGTAGCATTCTAAATATTTCGGTGTGTCACTTGTCGTATAACATAGCGAACAAAACTGCCTAATGGGCATATTTCGTAGCGCATCCGAAGGATCAACAAACCCAACACAGCAAATTCAATAACATAACACTATATAAAAACACAAATTAGGGATGGTAAAGACTGACAATTTCTGGTTTTCACATCTTTCGTAAATATAACTAAGCTTAGCAATCTACGCGACTAGTTTTTAACTTTATCCAGGCAATGACAAAAGCAGAGAATTTGATATTAAATTTGTCTTTGTCTAGTTTGTAAAGTTTTATGCCCATAGCTGTTAATCTAGCCAATAGGTATGGTTTAATAGACATTCGTATCCGGTAAATATACCTAACATACTTATCTCTAGAACTTCCGCTACCTTTCTGGAATCGTACAGTGTAAGAGGATCTTGCTTTCTGTTACTTCTAACCTTGTAATCTTGTGTGGCGATATGTGAAATTGAACAGGGTATAATAAATTACTGGTCTAATTATTGTTTACGTACAGCGACATTAATTCTTAGCATTGATATATTTTAAGTAAATCGATACGTTTTTATATTTGGTATGTGATATCGTACATTTCGATGTTCTACCAATCGATCAATATCTTTTACGTTTCTGGAATTCGAAAGGCGCTTAAATGTGACGACGCAGTTTCTTTTTTTCAATGGCTTAGCCGAGACGCCTTATGAATTCCGAGATTCTCAAGTCTGGTGTGGCACAAAGAATCATTTATAAAAACGAAAAATTAATTGTCAAGAATTTTCAGAAATTTTTCTTTTTGGTTTTTCTTTTCCTGTTAAAACGATTGCACCAGGTTCGTTAATATAATATTTAGTTAGCGCTATTATAATTAATTTAACCAGAGAAATAAATTCTAAGACTAAAGTCTTCAAGCACAAGCATCTAAGGCGATTGAAAATTCTGTCGTACTTGAGAACTCGGCCCACGACCACTGACTTGTTACTTGGGATTCCTTGCCTACCCGGCTGCTTAAGTGGATAATATTTACTTGAAGTTTTCACTTTTTGAAAAATTGGAAAAGTATTTGAATAGCCACAAAAGTATTACTAGCTGCAGAATATTCGATAGTCACAAAAAGTGTTACTTCCTGTTGCTATTCTAGTTTTTGATCAAAGAATTAGGAAATTTTTTGCATATCTGAGCAACAAAACTACATCCGGAGAATCAGCAATGTTAGCCAGTGGAATATTGTGGACCATATTGTCAATAACAGTTGGTCCGGGTCTCTAAAATTGATTTGGTTTACTCCTGTAAAATTTTCCTCCACTCCCCCGACAAAAGAGCAATGGCCTACATAGCTTTTAATTATTTACGCTGAGCGGTAATATAATGACACTACACATTGGATCCCTTTGCTTTATATTATTGCTAATCGCTTTGAAGTTGTGTTTCAACCTACTTTCTGAACTTAACCTAACGAAAGAGAAGAAAACTAGAGAAGAAACTAGACAAAGAAAAAGAGAAACAAAGTAAAGAAAGTTTAGACATGATGCCATCACTTGTAAATGTTTCGAATGCTTTTTTCACATCATGCGCCCTCTATCATAAATAAATATTGTTACAGTTTGGTTTCCGTTTATACTCAACGTAAAAAATAAATGAAAGAGTAAATAAATGTGTCTTTCCGCGTGTGACATCCGCCTTCCACAAACAGCGTATATGTTGTTGATCAGAATAAGATTCTGAGTTTGCTCAATTTCGTCATTGGAGCAGCCACTTCCTTAATCACTTCATTTTAAAAAGCATCTTTTTAAATCGTTACGTTATGCTTCATTATGATACAAAAAATTCTTAGCCGCGTGCTCAAGAGCTCGGCGCAAATATCTAATGTTTTTTAAAGTCTACGAATTCACGATTAGACTTCAGCATAACAAAATGTCACGAGAAGTCATAAAAGTGGTTTGATATTTGCTTGTGCCTACTATACGTCTCCGTGATGCCGTTCAGAATAAGACTGATTAAATAATTTCTTTATCATATACATAATAGATACATTTGGGTATTAATAATAATATTCTTATTATTCTTAGTTTAGATAAATGAAATAAATTCTTAGATCGGGTCTATTTTAGAAAAGGAAAGTAGATTTTACTTTTAATAAAGTGATATATTAAATTGATATTGCTTTCAGTAGCTGATTTCAAAATGTTGATAGGATTAGCTGTTCCGCGTGCCATTTTTCTAACAAAATTTAGGCGGTCACAAACCAGGTACTTTAATAATTTGCTCTCAATTGCAGATTGCAAAAGAACATTTTTTAACATTTTTCATTTTTAGAATGAAGCAAGGTGCATTACAATATCATCCTAAATGATTCATCAAAAAAATGTGTGTATGTATGGTAGGCCATGTATTTGGCATATATGCTTCGTAGTTCGTGTGCATCGTTCACTTTACCCCCTTTAAAATTATTAAAGTGTGAAGGCGCTTTTTTGTTTCCTTACTTATGTATTTATTTGTTTATTTTTTTCTTGTTCTTTAAAAAGAGGCCAGATGTCACTTGCCGCGTAAAATGGTTCCTCGTTTAACTAGCTAAGTTGATATTAATTGAATTTTACTTTTAGTCGAAAGCGTTCATTAATCTCAATGATTGACAAATTCCAATTGCAATTACTCTAAATTAGTTACAATATTATAAACTGTTCTATAGTTCACTTCGTTTAAATCCTTCCACTTGTTTCTGTCAATTAGCCTAGCCATAGCGTTGTAGTTTTTTTACTATACTTTATGCGCATATATTTAACTGTCAAGTCCTATTGTATAGATTGTTTAGGTTGTCCGATATGTTGTTGCAGGACCAAAAAAAAAAAAATGCCATTAAAAAGCCATAAAACTAGAACATGAAAACGTAAAAGGCAAATGGCAACAAGTTCGTTTAATGATCTTGTTATTAAACCATTTTTGTTTAGCTTGCTACAATTTCCCTAATTTTTATTAATTTTAATTAAATATAAGCGCATTTTTTGATTTTTAAAACCATTTACTTTCCATATTCTATTATTTCTTGTAAAACACAAAAATTACATTTGACAAATTAATTTTATTTTTCCTTATTAAGAATTTATCGTAAAACTTAAATTTTATGTAACATGTAAGGCATTTTATTTTTAAATGTTGTTATTTAAAAATTTTCGTATTATATTTTGGCCGATTTTGCAACAGTGATGCCTTCACTTGATATTAGAGAAAAAAAGGCATATTAAGTTTATCATTTGTTTTGTAGAATTGAGTGATAAACACTGGGTATATTGACCTTGATATTTTCTCAACCATATACCCTTCCGTAGCCCAGTTCTCTATGGTTTCTATATTGTCTTGCAGGTCGTATTCGGCCGCGACCTACCGTTAGATACCCGACATCAGCTATGCACATAACGTCTTTTCAAAATATGGCGCCATATGTGAATAAGAGAACAAAAAACAGACAAACTTAGATCGATTCAGC